CCCCACCAGCAAATAAAAAACAATCAGCCCCTCTAACATTATCTGACACACTATTTAATCCCTGTTTTTGTTCTTTTTTTTTTTATATTTTATATCATTCTATAAATATTTGAGACTACCAATGAGTCTTTAATCCAATGGTGCTTTTTATGTTATAAAAATTTTGTCTTCTTAAAATTAAAAGTTAAAATTTCCCTCCCTTTTCCCCTTCCCCCTCCCAAAAACAAAATTTTTTTCAAAATAAATAAATAAATATTTGAGGATCTTATTATAGTTTTAAGAAAATATAGGGGTCCGACTGAAATTTATGCATAAAAAGCCATTGACTCTCAGGTCCCAACCCAGAGTGATCCCGGGTCAGTAGTGGGCCCTACGGCCCGAATATTTGAGTGATGGCAGCATTCACGCTCTTCGATGTCCTGAAAACGAAATTCCTTTCCTCCACTCCAACCATCGAAATCTACCGTCCTATTAAAATATTTCCGACGTACAAAATATTCCCATTTTTAAATTACACTTACCGTCCTATTAAAATATTTTAATTCAATTTCCGTATATATAAGATTTTTACGGCGTCTCTCCATCTAGAAAAAGCCCCAAAATTTCGATCTGAGAATTTTTTGGGTCAGAATCTTGAGAGCAGTACAAGGCATTTCTTCATCCATTCACTGCAGTGACTTTATTGCTTGCCCCAAGAGACACTCTCTGCACAGTGCACACACACACACCNTCTCGATCTGAGAATTTTTTGGGTCAGAATCTTGAGAGCAGTACAAGGCATTTCTTCATCCATTCACTGCTGTGACTTTATTGCTTGCCCCAAGAGACACTCTCTGCACAGTGCACACACACACACCATCTATATAATATATATTTCTCTTATGTATAGCTATCGTCACCGCCAAAACAACCGTCCAATATCTATCCCAATCGTCATACGTCACAATCAACGAGGGTTCTGATCGTGTCTTGATTAGCCTTCGCGTGCGCAATCTAATCAATATTCATCATTGATCATCGTGGGTGGCATTTTTTGATTGTCGGCGAAGGATCTATGAGTGTGAAATCAGGGTTTAGGGACAATTTATTTTTGTCGTATAAATGCATGTGGGAGGGGATCTAGGGCTTTTATCGGGCTTGGTGGTGGTGGTCTTGGCGTTGGCGCCGGTGATCGGATTTTTTATTGTTCGCCGGAAATGGCGACGTGCGATGGCCAGGAGGGAGGAGATCAAGCGGCTTTTGGTTTTGGCATCGGAAGAAGCAGCTAGGGTCGAGCTCGAAGCCACCACTGTGTGTAGCTACGGCTACGCCTTAGACGCCGCGGAGGTAACGGCATCGGTTTCAAGGCCTGTGCAGTATCAATGTGCTGTGTGCTTTTGCCCCACTACTAGGCGTTGCGCCCAGTGTAAAGCTGTTCGATACTGGTATGGTAATTCTTAACCCCTGTTTGTGAAATTTTGATTTTTGTGTATAATTTTGTGAATAATTTGGTTGATTAATTTATTTTTGTGTGTTTCTCGTATTTGGCTAGAATTTAAGTCAGTTATTAGTGACATTTTTCTGTTATGAAGTAAAATTTGGAACACTGTTTCATTTGGTTTTGTGGTCCTGCACATGATGATATGTTTGCATGTTTCCTGCGCAGGAAATTGTGTATAATTTTTATGGAATCAACTTGATTTTTAGACTGTAGTTTTGGAGAGGACAGGGTGGGATAAAGGGCATTTGGCCAACACAAATTTTGGGGAGGATTTCCATTCTTTGCTCTGTCTTGTTCAAAACCAGTATTTATATCAAACAGATGCTTGAACCAAAAGAATGAAAGAGATCAGTAAAAAAAATAAGTGCAAAAATGGTGGAAGGAATATCTCCCGTCTTAACTATGACTTTGATCAACAAATGTATTTTGTTTTCTTCAGTTGTAACCAATAAACTTCCAAATGATCTCTGAATTCTGGTCATCATTGCAATTTGTCCGAAGTACTGAAAATCTGCTGGGTGTGATGCAGAATCTTCTTGGGTATGTGAGAGTGGAAATGTGGACAAACTTGGATATATGTTATGGCTTATGACATGTAATATGCATGCGATAAAACAAAGCAATATTGAAACAGTTATGACATGTTTCAGGGAATTGAACCTTGAATGTTGTGTATTGAGAAAGGTACAAATCTTTGGTCTACATTATGCCAATTGAGAGGAACGGTATCAAGTGATAAGGCCCATTTTGGATCATGAGAGGTTAAATAAAATATTAATGGGTTTGCAATGATGTTTAGGAATTAAACTGCCTAAAGGAGGTATAATAAATTGCTGAGCCATCTCCAATCCCAACCCCCATGTAAAAAGGAATTCAATACGTTTTAGGTAGAGATTTTTTTATTAGGCTTTATTTACATCTTGTATCATGTTGGTATTGTGCAGCTATTCTTGTGGGCTGAATAACTTATCACGATAGAGCTTTTGGTGGTAGTTTGTTGCTTTATTTTCCAATGTATCGATCCTTCCTTTTCTATTACCTTTTCTGCTTGTTAGCTTCATGATTTTTTGGCAAAAGAAGAATGTACATACTGCAAAGTTACTTCATTGAGGATTGTTTTCATGTTTACTATTATGGGATGACTTACCAATAAATAAATCTTGAGAGATGTTTTTTTTTTGGTTGGATGGAACATGTAAAATGTATACATATAGAAGACGGAAGGAAACGGCGTGGAAGGGAAAAACAAGACAATCATTACTCATTAGTAATTTCGGCGACGAAGACAATGAGTGGAAAGTTGTTTTGTAGAGAGCTATTTTAGTGAAAAGATCCCCCTCCAGAGATGGGATCTGATTCCTACTTTTGGCAGGGATATTATTTCCTTCGTTAGCGTGTCATAAATTCGTATCATTTGATTTTTGAGATGGCTTGTACACCCTTTAACTAATCTTCACTTATAAATCTTTTTTGTCGAATCCTTTGACCTTTTAATTTTTGTTTATATAACTAGTAAATCTTATTTGGCTAGTCCACCCTTCGATAACTTGTTTATAAGTGTTATCTCTATTTTTTTGGCGGATATAATCATTCTTAATTCTGTTCATATTAATTTTACCACACTCAATTTTTGAATATGTTGTCTCAAAGTTCCCCAACACTCGGTATCACAAAACATCACGGTTATGGATTTTATATAGAACTTCCCCAACACTCGTTGTTGTCTCTCTCTCTCTCTCTCTATATATATATATATATATATATATACACACACACACACANCTTTTAATTTTTGTTTATATAACTAGTAAATCTTATTTGGCTAGTCCACCCTTCGATAACTTGTTTATAAGTGTTATCTCTATTTTTTTGGCGGATATAATCATTCTTAATTCTGTTCATATTAATTTTACCACACATCCATCTTATCATTCTCATTTTTACCACACTCAATTTTTGAATATGTTGTCTCAAAGTTCCCCAACACTCAGTATCACAAAACATCACGGTTATGGATTTTATATAGAACTTCCCCAACACTCGTTGTTGTCTTTGTTGTCTCTCTCTCTCTCTCTCTATATATATATATATATATATATNCTCAATTTTTGAATATGTTGTCTCAAAGTTCCCCAACACTCGGTATCACAAAACATCACGGTTATGGATTTTATATAGAACTTCCCCAACACTCGTTGTTGTCTCTCTCTCTCTCTCTCTATATATATATATATATATATATATACACACACACACACACACACACACACACACATATATATATATATGTATATATGTATACACACACACACACACTCTTCTAATTGTTGTCAACTTTATATCATAAATAAATGGCTCCCGATTCTTCAATCATTCGTTAGCCAAAGTCATCCTTTAATAAATCTATAATATAAAACAGGGTAAGTTTCAATAAATCCATCTGATGGTCTCAAATAGACTCATCTAACGTTAACCAACATCCCTCTCAAAACCATTTACATTGTATCGTGCTTTCAGACACAGGTTACCCTTGATGATTCTTATGAGCCGACCTAATAGAATTTGAGCACTGATGGAAGATATAGCTACATGAGCAAGAGATCTTGTCATGACTATCCCACTGCAATAATTCTTGCCAAGAGGGATGGTTATGTTGTGGAAATATCATGATCGAATGAATGTTAATCAAATCAAAATTAAGTAGAAAAAAATATGACTTCTATATTCATTAATGAGGAAACTATAAGACCACAAGTTTTTATGGTTTTAAGGATGGTAATACAAATCGGTGCCAATGAGGATGGAAGACTCTATTACTTATAAAGGCTTTGCAATCTGGATATAAATGTGACAACTGAACACTATCTCATCCCGTGAATAATGAATGGTCAATATTTTGAGCAAAATGCCTTCTCCGCTTGTGTTTGTTTTTAGAACTCTTTCTGCAGTTGCAATGGTATTTGCTTACAAACTAGAAATTTAGAAAATGACATGATATTTGCTAGGAGTTGTAGCATAAAAAGAGTAAATCAGCTTTATTTATTATTTATTTTTTGGGAAATCAGTCATTAATGTAGCAGTCCATGTATAAAGTACCTACTAAAGTCTATGGTGTAAAGTGTCTTCCATCGTACCGCTATGTATGTGTGCATGCGCTTGTGTGTATATATACTGAAGATGCTGTTTTTGTTGTTCTAGATTTCACATTTATTAACATCATTATTTAATGTTTCAGCTCTGGGAAATGTCAAATTATACATTGGAGAGAAGGTCACAAGGAAGAATGCCGCCCTTTTACCACTGCTCACCAGATCAATGGTATGGGAGGTACTTCTAATCTGAAGGCGTCAAAACTAGAAGAGAATGAGAGTTCTGGTTATAGCGTTGAGACTGAAGGGGAACAGCGTGCTAAACCAGTTGAAACCTCCCCTGAAGTGCCCACATGTTCTAATGCCAGTCGCTTGGGATTACCTCATGGGAAGGATGATATTCAAACTGTGTGTCTGGCAGATGATAAAGGGACAAATTTGACTGGTCACTTATTACCTAAGGGATTTTCTGCATCCGCTACCTCCAGTGAATCATCTGTTGATGCTTCTGTCAGTGATTCAAATGATTCTGATAGATCAGATGAGCATCAGTCAACTAATGTTTCTCTGGAGAAGTTTGACTCTATTTGTGAAAACATCAAACAAACTAAGCCACCTTTCTCAAAGCACCCCCTTTGGGCCAGCTCTGTAGATAGTTTTATCCGTTCAGGTAAGGTTAATCAAATCAAACCGAATTGTATTGATGGAGATAGTCAGTGTGGATCATCAAGTTCATCAGGTTGGAGTGTTGGTGGCTCCCATGTGTCTTCATTCTCTGAGCCTTCTACATCCTCTTCTGGTTTCTGGGATGGAACTCTTGAATCCAGTAGGTCCAGAAATGATGCCCTTGATGGTTCTGTTCTGTTTAGTTCCAATGAGGCTGGTGATGGCAATGCAGTTTCTGCTATGGATCATCGTAGTTCTTCGTTTGACTTGGCTGGAAATGCTGTTTCTGCTGTGGATGTACAAGGCTTTGGCACCAAAACGTCCATATCAGAAAATGTTCAATCAATTAAGTCTGGAAGCAGGGAGCCTACTGATGGAATTGCAAAACTGAAAGAAAGAAGTGAAAATGGTTCAAAGTCCAGGAGATCACCCTCGTTGAGCTCTAAAATGTCTAATCATATTGATGCCGACATACTGAAATCCAGTGAACATAGATATTCCTCATGTAGTGCATCTTATGCTTATCCGACTTCCAGTGCTGAAGGACGTTCACAAATTAAAGATGTTTCAAAGGTCAGTCCCTTGCCATCCTTGAGTGCTGAACGGTCAAATTACGGGGTTAATAACACAAGCAGCACTTTACATACGCTGAAATCTGAAGAAGTTCGATCTTTATCATCCAAACCTTCTGATACTCATTTATCATCTACATGTGGAAGGCATACAGTTCAGAATGTGCAATCTGGGCAAATTGACCCTGCTTACGAGGGTGCTGCTTGTTCCTCCCAGTTTGCAGGTAAATACCCAAATGCTGGAAATGGCGTGAAAACATCAATGAGGAAAGTTGTTGACCAGCTCAGAGCCTCTACATTATCACGGTACTATACCTTAGGGACTGGGAGTGAGATTGCGGGAAGATATAGTAATAAGGTTTGGCTTGCAGCTTGTTGTGTTGTTTTGGTTCTACGATGTTTGCACTTATAATGTAATACTCTACACTTAGTATATCTTTGTTTTTGCAGGGCCTCTTTCCATACGAATTGTTTGTGAAGCTTTATAACTGGAACAAGGTTGAGCTCCGCCCATGTGGTCTTACAAACTGTGGGAACAGGTAATGAGGCAAACAAGATTAATGGTTCATAGTTTTGTGGGGTTCGATGCTTGATTTTGAAATCTCTGCAAACTTGGTTCACTTGAACTCAAGACGCTTCTTGATTCTGCACTTTGGCTGTTCCCTGTATTTTTTTGAAGCAATGTGAATGTGTTGCTGTTATCTGTTTTTATCTTATTCACTTACTTACATATTATGTCAAATGAACGTGAATAATGTGTCTTACATGTATGAACTGATGTTGATCCGTCACTTTGGGTTTCAGGACTTGGTGGCGCAACTTTCTGTGGTTCTGTTTTCAGGAACCAGCTTTATTGTTTACACATTTGCATGCTGTAATGTCATGTCTGTTTTCTGTGCCAACAATGTCAAACCAATGATTTTTCTAAAATGATATTATGGCCTATACAGTTGAGTTTGTTGGTTTAGTAAGTTATCTAATTCACAAATGATAAAATATTTGATGATGTGGCTAATCAGATTTATTGGCATGTGCTGGAAACTATGTTCCACTTATTCCCTTAAATGTACTCTTGTAAACTTGCACTACTGCACCCAATACTCTTGGAAGCTTACATCTCTGTCTCTGGTTTTCTCCATTTCAAGTTGTTTGCTTCTTATATTCATATCGTTTTTATCATCACAAAAATGTCAATGCCATATTTTTCCCCTCAGCAATGCAGCATAGAGACTCACTTGTCATATTTCTATTATATCCCCTATTTTGGAGGTCACTTCAAATATTGCAGAAGGTTCTGTTTCATTTGGTTTTTTAAACTGTGCTCTTCTTTTTTTAAATCTCCTGCAGTTGTTATGCTAATGCTGTGCTCCAATGCTTGGCATTTACCCCACCTCTCACTGCTTATTTTCTCCAAGGACTCCATTCCAAAGCATGTATGTCTCTGATCTTGATCCGTCATATGTCATTCATATTGGGCATGTAATTTGATTCTCTTGGGTGTTAATTTCTTTATTTTACATTCATCCGTATTAGGTGAAAAGAAAGAATGGTGCTTCACCTGTGAGTTTGAAAAGCTGGTTCTCAAGGCAAAGGATGGTAGTTCCCCACTTACTCCAATTCGGATATTATCCCAGATACAAAACGTTGGAAGCCATCTTGGTAATGGCAGAGAAGAAGATGCGCATGAATTTTTAAAGTGAGCTGTCTTTTGCATTTGTTGGGGCCTGCTGAGATTGTGTTTTTTTCCTTGCGATCTGTTAATATGTCTTAGTGCTAGTTAATTGAGGAGTGAATTCACAGGTATGCTATTGAAGCCATGCAATCTGCTTGTTTAAAGGAAGCCGGGGTAAGTGCATCAGGTTATTTGGAAGAGTCAACTCTCATAGGCCTTACATTTGGGGGCTACCTTAGATCAAAGGTAATTAATATTCGATAAATTAAGAGCTTTAGTTGTTTTTGTGCGCTTGCGTCTGTTTTAACTATGGCTTGCACGTCATTTGGCCTATGTGAGTGGATTCTGCATAGAATATGGATAATGCGTGTAAACTGTGAGACTGTAATGTGCAGATAAAATGCATGAAGTGTGGAGGCAAATCTGAGCGGTATGAAAGGATGATGGATCTGACTGTTGAGATTGAAGGAAATATAGGAACCCTCGAAGAGGCTCTAAGACAGTTTACGGGTACCGAGATTTTAGATGGCGAAAACAAGTACCAATGTAGCAGGTTTGTTGGTTTAGTTTGTTTCTTAAAGCCCTCGAAGAGCATCTTTTGGTATTAGTCATTATATGGTGACATCGATATGCAATTTTCTAACAGTGCACCTTTATAATTATGGCAATAAACTGAAGCATTATGGTTGAGGCACAAAACCCTCAGGATTCTTTGAATCATGTTTTATTTTCATTTGGTGTGATGGAATTTCTTGGTTCCAAATATCTCAGAATTGGTTTTGCTTTCCAATGAGGACTTGGCGTTCTATTGTCTTTGTCAAGATTCCTCACTGAGGAAACTGTATGTGGTCGTGCCTTCATTGCATGACTTTAAACTCCATACTTATTTGGTAGGTTTGTGCTGTCAGGTGTTCACATGGCTTATATCCCCCGTCAGTCACCAATGCCTTTAGGAATGGTGTAAATCATGGCAGGTTCACATTGGGCTTTCAGCCAGGCATTACTAGTCTCAAAATTTGATAGATCATTATTTGTTCCACAAAGCTTATTCCTAATACTTGTAGTCAATGCTTGCTGGGTGCCATTCTGGTTCAGTTTTATTTTGAATTATCTTTAGGATAAGATTGGAAGAAAATTGGGTTTGATCCTACTTCCTATTTAACAGCTCATGGTTAATTGGATGTGTTTACGTTGTCTGTTCAATCAATTCTCTTGGTTGTGAATGAACAGGGTGTAAGTTGCAATTTGTAGAAAATGTGTGGAACTGCCATGCGTGGTACTATGTTGAATTGATTCAGTTACAATTATAGTTATGATCAAGTTTTATTATCGGTTGTTCTTCTTAATTTTTCAAGTATGAATAATTCATGGTACTCCGGAAAAAGGTTGCCTCAGATTTTGGAGATTGGGAATAAATGTAATGTGTTTAGATATTGTTTACTGTCTACTCTGAATCTCTGATGTGGTTGTATCATGCATATACTTCTCATCATTAGAGTTTGAATAGCAAAGGTGCACCTTGTATAGTTTAGTTTGCACTGGTGGTGGTTTTTATTTATGGACAAGTTTATGAAAGTTATGTTAAATGATTTTAATCACTTCCCGGGATTTATTATGTTGGCTCAATATTTATTATGTTGGATGGTAGTGCACATGATAATCTTTTTTTTTAATAAATGTGGTTCGTGGAATTGTGAATCAGGTAGGGAAGGAGAAGTTGATTTTATTTATTCCTTGTTCTTAATTGACTTTATTGTTTCATTTCATACTGCACTATACTGTGACCCCTAAAAAATCATTACATTGTTTCATCCCCACTAACCAAGGGTGCTAGGAGGGTTGGGTACAGACTTAACCTTTGTCCTCTTAATTTTGTCAGATGCAAATCTTATGAGAAAGCCAAAAAGAAGTTGACAGTACTGGAGGCTCCTAATGTTCTGACTATTGCATTAAAGAGATTTCAGGTAATTTAGTATGTCGAGATTGTGTTTTACTTTTTGTTTTGCATTTTTCTTATCACTTGCTAAACTCTATAATTTTGCAGTTGGGTAAATTTGGGAAACTCAACAAGTCAATTCGGTTCCCAGAGATTCTGGACTTGGCTCCTTATATGAGTGGGACGAGTGACAAGTCCCCAGTTTACCGGCTTTTTGGAGTGGTGGTTCACTTGGATGTCATGAACGCTGCATTTTCTGGTCACTATGTGTGCTATGTGAAGAATATTCAGAACAAGTGGTTCCAGACTGATGACAGTACAGTATGTTCTTATTTGCATTAAATTTGCACTTCTAAACAAGTTTTCTTTAAATTATTGTTTTTTCTTTACTGCATTTTAAAGCATGTTTGATTTTGATTTTGTGGCTTTTTTTCTTTTGAATTTTATCAAGGCAACAATTGGATTTATCGAACTGTTTTGCCAACAAGAAGCTTTCTCTCCATCATAAGAGGCCTTTTTTATGAGGAATTTTTAGTGCATTGTAAATGGACGCTACAGATTTTTCTTGTTGGGGTACAGTGCTTGTGGTTCCATGTCCTATCCTCTGCAATTATGGATTGGATTTGACTCCCTATGGTAGTCTTGGTTATGTAATTCTTTCAATTGCAAAGCTATGAAAGAATTTAGAGAACCCTAACTGAAAAAGTATGTGTAAGCTTCGTTTGACTTATCAGTCCTGGGAATCTGCCATTGGACCTGTTAATATCTGATTCACCAAATGTACAATTGGGGGGTGGTTAGGTTATTTATTTGGGCTTGAGCCTGGTTTAGTCTGTGAGTCTGATGGCAGAACCTATTGATATCTGGTAGTTAAACTAAAAAGTTTTTCAATAAGGGATTGTCTTGGCAACTTATGTATGCTTTACTTCATTGCTTGATTGTAGATTGAGCTACTGAAGAATGAATTTATATCATTTTCTCATAGCTTTGATCCTATGCTTGTAATGGTTGTGTAGGTCAAAGCTGTGGAACTTGAAAAGGTCTTGACAAAGGGGGCGTACATGCTTCTTTATGCTAGGTAAATGTTTTAGGAGCTCTTCACTATTTTTGTACCGCATTGGTTTGGTTTCTAATTAATTACTTCTAAATTTGTAAAGGTGCTCGCCACGGGCCCCAAGAGTAATAAGGAACTTAATAATTCCTCGTGATCCAAGATATCCAAAGAATCCAACATCGAAGTCAAGATCCAATTCTGCAGGCCCATGGGATGATCCTCTGGCTGATTCGCTGGGTGGTCACATTCCACAAGGCCATGCAGGTGTCCATATGATTCAGACGAGTTTGGAAGAGGACTCTTCTAGTGACATTTCTTCCTCTTTCTTCTCCGAGGCTGGTTCTTGCAGTACCGAGAGCAGCAATAGGGATTCCACTGGCATTGATGACTACTTTGATCAAATATTTGGTGATTTGGGATGCAATTGGAATAGCCCTCATAGGAATTCCTCAGATTCTGACACTTCATCTTCCGCATCATCTCCATCTCCCATGTACTCAAGGCGTCCACACCCTGCCAACTTGGACTATAATGCTTCAAGATATCCTGAGACGAGTGGCTCTCGGATTGATAGTGCGGAACCAGCTGTGGATAGTGGTGATCTTTGGGCAAGACAACCTGGCTGGAGTAGCAAAGTAAGTGTTCCGTATTCATATTCTGACTCAACTAATCTTAGGAAACTAGTTAGTAGCAGTAGTTGTAGGGAGACCGACTCAAATAGATTAGGATCAGTTTACCCTTTCGGCAACACGAAATCTGGTGTATGTTTTAGAAGATCAACGAGTGGAAGAACGGATTAAGCATTCTATTAAAGAGGTTTTGAGTTAGAGAGAAGGGGGGGAATAAGAATTCGGGGTTTGGGATTAGGGAGTGGTTGTATGTATTGTACTCTTGCTGTTGGCTCTGTGTTGAAAATGAGCCATCATTTTGTCACTCTCTTTCCCATTATATATAGTTATGTCATTTTGTATAAACATCCATCTCTAGAGTGTACAGAGGGATAAATATTCCCAATTGTAGGAGTCTTCAATGGAACTTGGCTTATTGTCAATATGAAGCGGATGATATACTTTTATTCGTGGTTACTATCCTTGAGAAAAAGTTTTATGTTGAGTTTTGGATTTGGATTTTATCCAATACGTTTGTCAATTTTCTTTTAATTCAACGATGAATCCCCTTTTTTTTTTTGTTTTTTGGTTCAACGGTCAGGGGTTTCTAGGTTAATTTATGTGCACCTTGACTAATCCTTTCATCGATTCGGTCAAAAATAGGTTATTTATGTCGGAATTAAGATATTTATGAAGGATAAATTTCTCATACCTTAATCTCTCAAGGGTTTGAATCATCACAGATCAAAAATTTAGGTGAAATTTATTGTATATAAGTGGTGTCCATTATTATATAATGGGTATCTTATTATTTAGTGAAATTCAGGAATAGTATCGGGGATAATTATGTCTTAGGGTCCAATGGGTATTGAACTTTATTTTGAACGAATTTACAAGATATTATACCGAATAATTCATTAAATTTTAGAGCACTTGAAAGACTAACGATTATATCTAAAGGGACACGGCACACCAATCTGGTAAAGTAAAAAATACCTTTTATCATTATGAGTGAAAAGTAAATTTCAAAAGAATCGACGATTATTATCTAATATTTCTTCCTCCTTCAATCTTGAATCACTTCGTAACTTCACTAATTCAATACTATGCCAAAATGGGGCAGCATGAAAAAATAAAAAAAGGAAACATTTAATAGTTCATTTTTGAGTAATATATGCTGAAAAGGAGAAAAAAATTAACAACATGCACCAAAGAAAAAAAGAGAGAAAGTGCAATAGTATTTTTAGTGCTTAAAACCCTAATGACTATCAAGTGGTTAGAAATGGAGTATATTTTTTGCCATTTATTTTTAGTAATATTTTAATTTTCCAAGTATGTGATTTTGAAACTTCCGTTGGAAGAGTAAATTTGACCTGTATTCTAGCTATCCAACCAAACTAATAGTATTGCATAACCTCTCAACTCCAAAACAATAATTTACATAGACCCATTGAATTTAAATTGGCATAGGTAGTTGATACCTATTAATCCTTATTGATATCATGAAGACTTTGATTTCCCAAACTTGAAATAAAATCAAAAATCGAGTAGAACAAAAGATCAAAAAAATCAAACATTTGTAGATTGTTATTGAGAAATGCCAGACTTAGAACAATAGTGTTGTTCAATAGGCAACTTAAAAAATTGTTAAATCCTCCTTCACATGCTGAATAGCAGAAGCACCAAATCAATCTTCATGCTTAAAAAAAAGTGGAATTGTATATTGGAGACACCCAAAACACAAAATATGAAAGTGACGAAAAGGTAACATGTCATATACATAATCCATTGTGAGACAAGTTCTTATTCTTCAATTAAATTTTTAGAGTTAGATAATCAATTTTTCAAATATTAAAAATATAAAGTTTGACCTAAAGTGAGTATTTATGAAACTTGTGGTTTTAGAGGATAATTTTGTGTTCAATACAATATTAATTGACTCTTAATATATATATCTCTGATTTATTAAGTGAGGCAGTAGAAATATCATTCTTTTAGTATTTAAGGTTTTTGATACCCACAAAAGTTGAATTTCCATCTTAGCAAATACGATAATGTTATGCTTCAAAATTGAAGTTTATTCAGAAAAATAAAAAATAAGAAATAAAAATTGGTTGATGGTAGGTTTAAAGGGTTTTTCTTTTATTGGTTAACTGATAAATAAGAACAACATGCAATATAATTTTATTTCAAAATAATGAATATTTGATACTTTGAGAATGAAGCTAATATGCACGTTGGATGTAAAAAAATATATTGTTTTTAGTATGACTAAGAACTCTAAGAAAGAGATTGATGGGTAGAGAAAAAAAGTGAGAAAACAAGATGAGAAAGGTAGCATGCAATAGAGATAAAAAGCATGCAGTACATGGACCTTACAACTCATAAAAAGAGTCTCCAATGACATCATGCATTGGCATTGTATTTGAGCAATGCTACATGGACATTATTTAGTAATCTTATTTGGTAACTTTATAATTTTTTGTCATTACATTGATAGTAGNGCCATTGTATTTGAGCAATGCTACGTGGACATTATTTAGTAATCTTATTTGGTAACTTTATCATTTTTTGTCATTACATTGATAGTAGACCTCACTCTTAGTTGGAATCCACTGTCAATTCAATGACTATGATTCATTGTGTCACCAAATAATCTCACTTAATTAGGTATAAATATCATTTCCTATTTTATTTCAGTAAAAAAGAGACCAGTTATCCAAAATCGCAAAACCACCGATCCAAAATTGTTTTTTTCGTTGTAAATGGAATAAGGTAGAGGGAGGGAGATTGTAGCTAGAAGTTCAAAAGAACCAAAATAGTTTGGACTCTTCCTCTTCTTCTTCTTCTTCTTCATGAAAAGAAACCGTTATCCTTAGTGCTAGTTAATAATTAAAAACCCTTGATTTACGTAAGAAAACTCATTTCAAGACTTAGTTATAGGTTAAATGAATAGATATGATAGAGTTTATAATATTCATTAGAGGTAAAATAAGAAAACAAATTTTTTTTATGCTGAGATACTTTTATTAATAGTATATACAAGGTATTAGAAGACATTTCAGCATCAGGTCAGTACTAATAAAATCATTAAGACTATGCTTTATAATTTAATTCAAATTTAGTATTAAGTGGCCATTAAATTAACTTAGTTTAATCACAATTTCTGGCTCCATTTATCCAGTGTTACTTAGTAGAGGGATATCTTGTACCATGAGTGTGGACACAAAAACTCAGGACCCAACTCTTGATGGTAATAACACGATGTTAACGTTGTATTGAAAATCAAACATGAGAAGATGGACCATGTAATCTTAAGAGATAGTTCANCCCAAACTTGAAATAAAATCAAAAATCGAGTAGAACAAAAGATCAAAAAAATCAAACATTTGTAGATTGTTATTGAGAAATGCCAGACTTAGAACAATAGTGTTGTTCAATAGGCAACTTAAAAAATTGTTAAATCCTCCTTCACATGCTGAATAGCAGAAGCACCAAATCAATCTTCATGCTTAAAAAAAAGTGGAATTGTATATTGGAGACACCCAAAACACAAAATATGAAAGTGACGAAAAGGTAACATGTCATATACATAATCCATTGTGAGACAAGTTCTTATTCTTCAATTAAATTTTTAGAGTTAGATAATCAATTTTTCAAATATTAAAAATATAAAGTTTGACCTAAAGTGAGTATTTATGAAACTTGTGGTTTTAGAGGATAATTTTGTGTTCAATACAATATTAATTGACTCTTAATATATATATCTCTGATTTATTAAGTGAGGCAGTAGAAATATCATTCTTTTAGTATTTAAGGTTTTTGATACCCACAAAAGTTGAATTTCCATCTTAGCAAATACGATAATGTTATGCTTCAAAATTGAAGTTTATTCAGAAAAATAAAAAATAAGAAATAAAAATTGGTTGATGGTAGGTTTAAAGGGTTTTTCTTTTATTGGTTAACTGATAAATAAGAACAACATGCAATATAATTTTATTTCAAAATAATGAATATTTGATACTTTGAGAATGAAGCTAATATGCACGTTGGATGTAAAAAAATATATTGTTTTTAGTATGACTAAGAACTCTAAGAAAGAGATTGATGGGTAGAGAAAAAAAGCGAGAAAACAAGATGAGAAAGGTAGCATGCAATAGAGATAAAAAGCATGCAGTACATGGACCTTACAACTCATAAAAAGAGTCTCCAATGACATCATGCATTGGCATTGTATTTGAGCAATGCTACATGGACATTATTTAGTAATCTTATTTGGTAACTTTATAATTTTTTGTCATTACATTGATAGTAGACCTCACTCTTAGTTGGAATCCACTGTCAATTCAATGACTATGATTCATCGTGTCACCAAATAAGCTCACTTAATTAGGTATAAATATCATTTCCTATTTTATTTCAGTAAAAAAGAGACCAGTTATCCATAATCGCAAAACCACCGATCCAAAATTGTTTTTTTCGTTGTAAATGGAATAAGGTAGAGGGAGGGAGACTGTAGCTAGAAGTTCAAAAGAACCAAAACAGTTTGGACTCTTCCTCTTCTTCTTCTTCATGAAAAGAAACCGTTATCCTTAGTGCTATTTAATAATTAAAAACCCTTGATTTACGTAAGAAAACTCATTTCAAGACTTAGTTAGAGCTTAAATGAATAGATATGATAGAGTTTATAATATTCATTAGAGGTAAAATAAGAAAACAAATTTTTTTTATGCTGAGATACTTTTATTAATAGTATATACAAGGTATTAGAAGACATTTCAGCATCAGGTCAGTACTAATAAAATCATTAAGACTATGCTTTATAATTTAATTCAAATTTAGTATTAAGTGGCCATTAAATTAACTTAGTTTAATCACAATTTCTGGCTCCATTTATCCAGTGTTACTTAGTAGAGGGATATCTTGTACCATGAGTGTGGACACAAAAACTCAGGACCCAACTCTTGATGGTAATAACACGATGTTAACGTTGTATTGAAAATCAAACATGAGAAGATGGACCATGTAATCTTAAGAGATAGTTCACGAGATGAGCAGTAAATTCAGATATCTTTAATTTAAATCCTGACAACTTCTTGGGGTCAAGACATGAGAGATTTATCTCTCATAAATGCTTTAGACTCGGTGTGAATGGTCTGTCTTTGACCGAACTGGTGAGAGAATTATTAGAAATGAACTAACGAGCCTTTGATCTAATGATACTCTTTATCTTATAAAGATTTTACTTTCTTAAGATCAATAATTCTAGTTTGTCTCCTCCTCCCCTTCCCTCTCTAACCGTTAAATCAAAAATTAAAAAAGGAAAGGATGACCATGTGAGAGAAATCGCCACATGACCCACAAGATGGAACGGCCATACACCCAAACCCAACCACAATGGACCAACAACACATGACACAACTATCCATCACCTTTCTGCTTATGGATAAGCAGCCACAATGTTGTTGTGTTTACACCGAACCCAATATCATAAATGTGGGCCACC